AGCTATACCCTTATAGGTCCACCCACGACTTTAGCTAAGACATCTCCATATCTGTAGCTCATGAGGTCTTTACCTTGCATCCGAATACAAGTAGATAACTCGTGCTAGTCTTACCCGAGATCACTGATCCCTATTCTCAGTGTCTCTAGACTAGGAACTTAAAATTAGGAATAAACATCCAGTATCATTGAATCCTCATGATCGTGATCTCATCACAGATACTCAAGAGATACCTATTTTATTCCAAGGGGTTCATCCAGTTACTCATATAAAATATTAACTATAATATTGAGACAAAATATGAAACATGATAAAGAGTGCTTTTTATTTATTTGCGACAATATAAAAGGTCCACATATGTCCTAATCTAATCAAAAGATTGTCTCTAGGACATCCATATACTAACATTAGAAACTTAGGTTGTCCTTCTAGGTGGCTCACGCTTTGTGGGGAAAATGAATGGAAGGAGGTGCAGAATTTTTCTTGGGGTTCTTCTCCAGTGGCGTTCACGGTTTCTTGTCAAAAGAGGGGATGAAAGTAGAGTTAAATTCTTATGTTTCTTCCTATTGGTACTCACGGCCAAGAGAGGTGGGAGGAGATTATGTGGCTAAGCTTGGTTTTGTTTTAACAAAATAGTTCTTCAACCTATTGCTCTACACATTCTGCGCTTGAGAGGGAAGGAATGGAGATTATAAAGCTGATTTAAAAGCTAGCAAAAATCAGAAAAGTAACTAGACCCTCTCTCTCTTCAGCGCATAAGAGGGTGTAAATGGATGAGGGATTTCTGCCCAATGGTATGACATGCAAACTGCTCACCTCTCTCCCATTGGTTGCATGTAATAAAGCTGAATGGGCTCAACAAGTCATCAGAATTTTATCTACCCTATGCGCACATGTGATGGGGGAACAAGGGTGGGACTTTGCCATGTGTTGATCCTTTGCCAATCAAGGGCTTCCTTGTGAGATTCTTAAGATGAGGTTAGGATAACAAGAGTTTAGGGTCGATTCTAAGTCCCTCCTAAGGCTCATGGGTCGTCGACCAACCCATGGTTTGGGTCCAAAATTACAAGTCCAAAGACTCTCCTAATTCATTCACTAGCCCACTCAATTATTTGTTCCCATATCATCTAGTTATCCTTAGACTTCCTAGATGTTACATTTAAATTGATCCTATATTTTTAACAAGAGTTTCAATGTCTAAATAGATACTCACCTATCATTGTAATTCAAATAATTCCCTAACTTAAATTAGTTCCACTCTAGGGAAAATAGCTATATAATTCGAAGACAAGACATGCATTAACATATAATTCGAATTTCACACATGCTTCCATATTCCTCATAGCAATTTATATATTTTTCCTAATTATGTGGGATGTTACAAGAATCATTCCTAACATCTCACATTTATGAAAACTTGTATCTAAGTATTTATCAAATGTTTGAAAGTGATTGAAATACATTTGAAAAAAAAGAAAACCATTCCTTAAGTAATGAAGCTCGAAAATTGTCCTTAGTAGTAAGGATTCAAGCATGGCTTAACATGAATTGGAAGATCGACTTCGTATTTGCTAACAGGGAAAGGAACACTTGTGCTGATTGGCAAATTCCTTAGACAAGCCTTGGGGCACTTATTACATGTCTTCCCCTCTTGATGGATTAAAGAACTTGCTTGCTGATCTGGTTGTGCAACCTCACAACCCTTTCATGAGAAATCCTGATTGATTGGTTACTGCTGGTGTTTTGCTATCTGTCTTTTTAGTTCTGTTTCTTTTTGTTGTTGTTGTTGTATTTGTTGTTTTCTTTTTCTGTTGCTAGGGCCTTGCCCTTTATTTCACAAAAAAGAAGAAGCTAAAAATGAGTACATAATACTTTTTATTTCTACACTATATAAATTGACCCTATATATATATTTGACAAAGATACCACTATCAGTGCATGTTTGGATACTCTCTTTTTTTAAACTAGAAGTTACTTATAAGCATAAGCTAGGCCAAATAGGTTTTGAGAAAAACTCTTATAATGAAAAACTCTTTTTTTATAATGAAGAAAAAAGGTAAAAGTTCCTAGGAGGAGTTTTTTTTTTAAATTCTTATATGCTTTTTTTTAACTCTTGTCTGCTTTTTTTAACTTTAACTTATAACTTCTAGCTTAAAAAAAGAGAGGATTTAAACAAGTTATTAGAAAAGTGCATATCGTCACCGGAAAGTTTTGACCGAATAACTTTCGTCAAAATTATCGATCGAAATATTTATGACATTTAAAATAACAATATATCAATACAATTATAGACGGAAAAGCCGGTAGAGAAACTTTTTGTCAGTCGAAAAGTGATTAGTACGCACTATTTTGGTTGATGTTTGTTCCCACAATCATGTTTATGGAATAGGAAAAAAATTTGTCCTTTTAAAGAATATAACTTTATGTCATTTTAGATCCTAACCGTTGATTTTCATCAATCAACAGTTAGGATTTATTGGGTCAAATTTATTAATTAATTAGTAATTTACAATAAAATATAATAAATTCTAACCGTTGATTGACGAAAATCGACGGTTAGGATCGAAAATGAAACAAAGTTATATCCTTTAAAAAGACAAACATTTTTCCCTTACAAAATTAGTTTTGGCTAAAAATTTCGTTGAAAATTTCGTCAAAAACCTCATGATATGTTTCGATGGGCTAATTTCAGTCGGTTAAGAATTTTTTCTATGAACTCTTTTCTACTCCAAATCAAATTACAAATGCATTTCTCACTCTCACTCACTATCTTACACTCACTCTTACTCTCCTTCAATGCTATATTTTTTCTGCTTCGATTACATTTGGGAGGCCCTCTATTATAAGGACATTTTGAAATTGCTGAATATTGAAGAATGTCTAGTTAATTAAGGGTTAAGGACTCTGGGAGAGTTGGGCTAGGGTTCAATAACTAGTGAAACATATGTGCTTTTGATAGGATGTATTTTGATTGTGCACTGGCGAGGGATAGTAAACTGTTTTGAATATATGCAGTTGTGACTGTATGCTATGTAAGCCAGACATCACATAGGTAATTAGGGGGTTGAGGACTCTAGCAGTGTTGGTCTAGGGTTCAATAACTAGTGGAGCATATGTGTTGTCGAAACTTATGACTTGATTGTGCATTGGAATTTCCTTTCTCTGTCGTCTTTGTTCTATTTGACATTTTATCTCAGATAGACATCAATTTCAGAAAATCAAAGGATTGAATTGTGATATTGAAATGTGGATAAGTCTGAATTCTTGAGGGTGAAATGATGGATATAAGGTTTAGGGTAACATGAGAGGGGGGATTATGCATGTATTAAGAATCAATTGGGATAATTGGGGGTTAAGAGGCACTCCTGGTAGTCCTCTGGTCTATTTGAAGATCTCATCGAGTGGGACACATGTTTAAAATCAGTTTTGCGATTCGACGGAAGAATTTACCAGGATCTGAGTTTGAAGAAACTAGAGCCACAAATTTTCGGTCCAGATCCCAGAAATTTCAGCCATTTTCAGAAAATGAAACCTAATAGGCTTTGTTCTACTCGTTGAGATGATCGTTGTGAGTGGTCACTCGCCTTAAACGAAGATCAGACGAAGGAGATATGGCCGATTGAAGTTTTAGGTACATTTTTATGCGAGAAATAATATTCTTGCGAAAAGGAATATTCTAAGAGAATATCCTCTTAGTAGGGGAATATTCTATTAGAAAACATTTCAATAATCAGGGAATGTTTCGGTGAGTTTCTGGAAACAAGGGTAGTCCATCTTAAGGTTTTTGGGCGCTCAGATCTGTTTTTAGGGTCTGTTTTGGCAAATTATTAATCTTCAGAACAATTTGATGAAAGTTAGAGCCTTTGCTTTAATTTGTGATGTCTGTGAACTACAAGGTGCACTCTTTCTAACTCTTAGCTCTGATTAAAATGCCTAAACGTAGTTCCTATAATATTATAAAATGCAATCATTTGATGTTATTGAATTTTATAGTTGAAAATTATATGTTCAATTTGGCATGAAAGAACGTGAAATATTTTATAATGTATTAAATGATTGTGTATCTACCATTAAAAAATCTGTATAAATATCAATGGAACAAAGATGGAGATTTCTTCAAGTAAACTACTAACTCTAAAACAAGTTAGAGTAGTACTTTTACTTAAAAGGAAATTGGTATCTTTGCTTGATAAAGCTTGTATGTCTTTCTCAACTATGAATGGTAGAGTAACTTTATTTGTTGACTCTTGTTATTTTGGATGTGCATTCATGATTAATGGTATGTATAAGTTGAGTTTAGATACTGAGAGCATAAACTATGTGAGTTCAACTTTGATTGATCCAAAGTTGTTACATAATAGACTTGGACATGTGAACTACAGGAAAATGCAACATCTAGCTAAAACTCTTGATATTCCATTAAATGCATCTATTTGATTTGACAAATGTGAAATATGTGCACAAACTAAGATCACTAGAAAACCTTTTATGTCGATTCTAAAAGCACACAACTTCTTGATCTGATACATTCTGAATTTTGTGACTTTAAATTATATTACTTGAGGTGGCCAGAAGTATTTAATAACATTCATAGACGATGTTTCTAGATATTGTCATGTTTATTTGTTAAAATCGAAAGATAAAGCTTTTCAAAGGTTCAAGATTTCTAATTCAAGAGTAGAAAATCAACTCAACTTGAAAATTAAGAGGTTTAGGAGTGAAAGAGGAGAAGAGTACACAAGGATAGGGTTCAAAGATATTTGCGCTTCAGAAGGCATAATACTTGAAACCACTGTTCCTTACTCACCTTAATTAAATGGTGTTGCCGAGCACAAGAATATGACATTAACTGAAATGTTAAACTCTATGTTACGTACAACTGGCATGCCTTCCTCCTATTGGGGAGAAGTAGTTCTAACTACCAATCATATCTTGAACATGTTGCTGCACTCTAAGTTGTCTATAACTCCTTATAAGATATGTCATAAGTGTTCTTATAGATATGATACTCATAAGACTTGGGGATGTATTGCTCATGTAAGAATACAAGATCCTAAGAGACCTAAGATGGAACCTAGAACCATTACTTATATATATCTAGGAAGTGTAGAAGACAGTGCTGCAAATAGGTTTTTGGATCTATCTACAAATACGGTGACAGAATCCAGAGATTCAGAACTCTTTGAGAATAAGTTTCTCAAAGATCATGGCTTGAGTGCTTCTGGATCTACATATATGATTTTAGAATATCCTATAGAAACTGAAGCAAGCTCTTCTGACACTAATCCCACACAACTGGTTGTTGAATCAGTTCAAGCTAGAGTATCTACGAGAGAGAGTTTCCAAAGACTTTGGCAAGGACTTTGTCACTTTCAGGAAGCAATGAGATCTGGAGAATCTCTACTATGGGTAAAAGCCATATATGATGAAATGAGCTCTCTGCTGCAGAATTATAGCTAGTCATTTTGCCAATAGGGGCTAAGGCTATAGGCTGTAAGTTGGTACTGAAGAAGAAACTGAATAGTGATGGATCGATAGCCAGATACAAAGCATATTTAGTAGCTAAAGGCTATAGACAACAAAGTGAAGTAGACTATTTTGATGTTGACTCGCCTGTGTGCCATCTATCGACTATAAGAATTCTTCTTGCTTTGACTTCTATTGAACACTATGTAGTACATCATCAAATGGATGTAAAGGCAACTGGTGGATGACATGTTAATTCTTGGCTCTGATCATTCTACAGCGAGTGACATGAAAGCTAATTTAGCTAAAGAATTTGATATGAAAAATCTTGGTATTGCTAATACCATTCTTGGTATGAAAGTAAGCTTTGATAGGCAAGTTATCTCCTTTAGCCAAACTCATTATATTGAGCAGTTATTTCCTACTTGGGGATACAGTGAGTGCAAACTGAGTGAGACACCATGTGATTATAATAAAAGACTGAGTCCTCATGAAGGGACCAGTGTGGATCAGTTAAAGTATTCAAAACTGATTGGTATTAACCATCTTAGTAAACTCTGGGTTTATGGAGTAGTCTTCACCCAAGAGTTCACTTCTTGCATGAAAGGTCAGATATATACCATACAATACAACATGTAATCTTGTCAACAACATATAACTTAGTTATTACGGAAACACTTGTACTTACCACATGATATTATTACGGAAGAATTTGTACTTCCCACTTGATAACTTGATATTATACAATTTCAATCACATCATTTACATACTTGTTTATATGAATGCACATGTATGCACAGATACCAAATATCTAACATAACCAAACATACATACATATGAACCATTAGCCATACCGGACCATGGTGGAACAAACAAAGAAGGAGAAAACTCCTAAACTGAAGGCTTATTATAACAACTAGTGAATTAACTAAGTGTTTAAGTGAATTAAACATGTATTCAAGGAAACGTTAAATGGTAAATCATGTAAATGACATGATAAATAAATTAAGATTACAGTTCATGCCAGCCAGACAAGTCTAATAAGACCCTGATATAAGTATAAAGTATATGTGGGGTCATAGATGTCATTACGGAAAAAGTCAGGATTAGTTTGGTAATTGACCAAGGTTAGGTCAAAGCTTGATTTTGATGATGTAATTAAATTCTATAGTTAATTTCATGGTTTCCATATATTAATTTTTAAAATATTGGAGATTTTTATTTTTATAAAAACCAATATATATTTTTGGATATACTAATCAATAGATTTCTATAAAAATTAATATCATATGACATATTTGAAAGAATTACATAAATTCTTTATTAAAAGGTATTTTTGTCAAAAATATTTATTTTTATCTTATATAGTATTATACAGTCATTACCAAATACTAGATGATATTTTTTAGTACAAATACTAGATGATGTTATCTTATACAATATCATGCCAAACGCTGATTTGTATTAAAATTTAATTAGATCTTATAAAATCAAACCTTATACTATCAGGCTTAGAAGCACAGACACATTCATTTGAAAAAAAGTGTCGAACACGGACACCTTCTGACACGCTTCGACATGCGTGCAACACGTGGTCAATATTTTAGGGTATGCGGTCAATGTTCCGACACGCGATCAACATTTTTCGACACACAGTCAATTTTTTCGACACGTTTTAACATGAATCCGACACTTAGTCAACATTTTCCGACACCTGGTCAACATTCATACAAATCCAAATTTTATTTTATTTTATCTTTTTAACTAAATATAAAAAATTAATTTATAAATCAAATATTTTATGTTATGAAATTTGACATGAAAAATTAACAAGGCATGAAAATTTATTTTTGCTTTATATTTATGTTACGAAATTTAAATATTTAATTAGTTATATAACTTATTATGAGCTGCTATATGTATTAAATATAAACTATATATATATATATATATATATATATATATATATATATATATATATTAAAAATATTATTTAATATCAAAATATGTCCTAACGTGTCGAAATCTAATATTTTTTATAATTAACGTGTAGGCGTATCGTGTCGTGTCATATCCCGTATCGCGTGTCAGTACAACATAACTATCAGGTCTTATACTGTCAAGCTTTATCCTATATTGTACACTAAACATGCCTTTAAGCTATAATCCTTTAGCCATTCCCTTGGTGAGAATAAAAAAATATCTTTATGTTCAAATTGCTTGGCACATGGAGAGAGTAAACGCATGTGCAAGATTGTCAGCAACTTCTCATGACAAGATATTTGTAGATTTATCTGTAGATAGACTCATGAAAGTGTATCAATTCTATTAGATATTTTTTTCATAATTTCATTTTAGGTGATCATGATCTAATCTGCCATGATTGTGCAATTTCCATCGTATGTTTTCTTTGTTATGCGCTACTTCGAATTTGGAGTTACTGTTACCTGATCTAGTTTGCTATGAGTGTGTAATTGCCTTAAAATTTGAAAAGAAAATAACAATCTTCAAAATGATACCTACAATCTCCTAATTAGTCTATAATACATCAACATCAACATCAACAACACCTTTATCCCAAATTAATTGGGATCGGTGGTAGATGAACCCACATGAAATATACAAAACGGTTGAAAAAAAGTTAAAAAAAAAATAAATAAAAAATAAAAAAAAATAAAAGTAAAAAAGTAAAAAAGCCAAAAATAAATAAATAAAAATAAAAAAATAAAATAAAAATATAAAATAAGATAAAATAAAATAACAATATATGTATATATAAATAAATAAAAGTAAAAAAGAAAAGGACAAGAAGAAGTGGGGGAAATGAAGGGGAAAAGGACTAAAAAGGGACCATCTGGAACATAGGAATACCAGCGGGTCTAACCCTCCACCATACTTATAGCTTTTCTCCATTCCGTTCTAAGACATACTGTCCGCCAATCTATATCTCACTCCATTAAATCTTGTTTTACTACTTTTTCCCAAGTAAGCTTCGGCCTACCTCTGCCTCTTTTTGTGTTGAGCTCTTGGTAACAAACTTCTGTTCTTACAATAGTTCCACTCTAATTTACTGCTTGGCAAATAAAATACAACCACCAAAAAATCGCAATGACCATTCGAAAGTGCATGTCAGTTGCAACTAGCCGGATAGAATATATCTTGCGTAAGATATTGCATAAAACCACAAAATACATTGATCAATTGATGAGTTTAAATCTTGAGTACGCAATTGTATTAAAAATTTGGTAAGAAAAACTTTGTCGCCATTGTGATTCTACCTGCTCGACCAGACAAGTCGAGTAATCAATAAACCGATCGAAAAATAAAAATAAAAATATTGCATAAAATATACTAGGTGGCATGAAGCTGCATTCAGAAGTTGGCTGGGAATACCAAACCTCCAAAATGATCACTTAATATAAATGAGTCAGCAGACATTCAAATTCCTACTTTTTCTGCCACTCACGCAGGCCCAGTCATCCATTTTGGAAACTTGTATGCCTTCTAAGAATGGTGAATATCTTTTCATGATGTACTGGACCTGCATAAAACACAACGGCAATGAACACGACCACATCATAGAATTGACAAGCAGTTCCACCAAACTACATATCCCAAGGGCCAACCAAGAGAAGGATGCATTTTGAATAAGAAATTCTATAATACACATTAGTTAAATTACCTGCTCAGATAATACACCAGAGAGACCAATAACTGCTCCAGGCTTTGCACAAGAGATAATTTCATCAGCAAGATCTAATAAAGGATTTAAGAGTATATTTGCAATGACCACGTCGTACTTATCCTGGTCAGTAACAGTTTGTATCTCACAGGTGTTTTCTCTCTGGTCATCCCCGGAGGATAAAGAGGTTTTGCTAGCAATCAGATGCAGTTGCATTTTGTCTGGTCCAATATTGTTCAGGGCAGCATTTTGAGATGCTGATGCAATTGCTTGTGAATCTACATCAACTCCAACAGCAAAGGCAGCACCAAACTGATAGTGTAAGAGGATGTACAAATTGGAATTGAAGAGTCAGCTAAAGACAGATTTAGGCAGTTTTTCTAAAACTGGAACAGAAAAACAACAAAAATACTAACATGAAATTATTGGACAAAAAAGAAGTGCTCATTATGATGACAAAGTATCAAAAAGTTCAAGAGAAAAATATGGTGTTTTATTATAAAAATAATAATAATAATTATAATGGCAATCAGATCAAAACATATTTGCCTATTCAAAATTTGTGGATACGGGTGTTAACGGGCCGAGTCGGACCGGGCTTTGGTCTTAAAAGGCTAAGCCTATGTTTAAATGTGTCAGCCTGGCCTAGCCTGTTACCTGTTATGAGTATAATTATCAGCATGTGGCCTGACTTATTTACAAAAAAAATAAAAGCCTGGTTTAGCTTGTTAAAAAAAGAATAAGACAACAAAAATTTATCCAAACAAAACATAAAATCAACAACACCAATAATTCCACAAAGATTCATAAATTATTGTATATCCAAACAGCATACTATACAACAAAATCATTCAAAAAGTTTGTATAACCAATAAAATGGGTTGAGGAGAGAGAGAGGCCTATTATGAGTAGTATAAAAAATATAAAATAAAAATTAGTATACTAGGCCAGCCTGAGAGGCTCTAAGGTTGGATTTTTGAATTGGAGCCTGTTGCCTTTTTATTAAACGAGTTTTTATATAAGTCCAAGTCTGGTTCCAACAACCAATTTTAGACATATAAGACCGGGGCCTTCACGAGCTGAGTCAAAGGCCCCTGAAAGGCCCTTGGTTCGTTTACCACCCTTATTTGTGGATAACTAGATGTACATATCTAGCAGCAAAAAATTGCATGATGTTTTTTACATTTTTAATAAATGAATGATATATCTAGTTGAACATGCAAGTATCTATCTATACAGAAGTTTCTAATCAAATGAACAACCAAAACATTTTATGATGCTGATGATACTACAAAATAACAGAAAAAACATGAAACTGGCAATATGTTAGACTTCTTCATGCAATTAGGCTTTTACAGAGAAGCAACAATCAAGAAGACAAGATAAGCCAAGTGAAGGAAGAAAACTATAGTTTAGGACTGCAACCAGTCCAGCTTATGAAGAATAGAAATGCAATGGACTAAAGACCATTAAAGTGGTCCTCAGTAAGCTGGTTCTTCAACAGTTTTTTTCATTTTAGTTCAATTTCACAGTATGCTGACCATCAATTGAATACCTTAAGTGCTGCAATTGCAAGAATTCCAGTGCCCGTGCCATAGTCCAGCACGTATTCTCCTCCTTTTATACAACCATGTAAGAGTAAAAGACAGAGTTTGGTACTGGCATGCTCCCCAGTTCCAAAGGCTAGTCCAGGATCGAGAATTATATTTGTTGCTTGAACATCCTGTATAAAATTCAGGATTGATCAGCAGAAAATTCCTTAATGGTTTTCAGACTTAATATTCAAATTGAAGAGGGCCAAAATGCAACATAGTTACATTGATATTTACAGAAGTTGCCCAAATAAAAAAATAGAGTTCTCATGCATGATCAGCAACCACAAGAAGTTAGCGACACATCATATATAAAGAAAGTTTACGATAGTCATACAGGTGGAGTACTCCACTCGGGCACCACCCACAGGCCTTTAGTAACTTCAACAGGATGGAATGATTCCTGTAAGCATAGATAGATGAATTTGATAAGTTTAATTTCAATAACAAATTCTAGAATCAATGATTTTCAGCAATATGAATGATTTCCCATTTAACAGCATGCCCCCTATATGAAAATGTTAAAGGATAGAAGACAGTAAACTGCCAGTGCGAGATAAAAATCAAACAATTAGTAGTTAGCGATAAGTCTATTTTATCAATGGTTCCTTTACTTATCACAGATTACAGCTTTACATGCAAAATCAATTTCTGGTTCACACAGGAACACTCCTATTATTTTCACTTGTGCCCCATCATTACAAAAAATGATTTGAGAAAAACACCAAAGAAGATGCAGAAAGAAATTTCTGCCCCATTCTTTCAGAGCAAATAATAGACAAACACATTTACAAACTTTACTAGTTATATTGTAGAACAGAGACTAGATTGCGAGGGAAAAGTGGATTTGATGCAACAAAGAAGTACTTCATTTTTTAGCGAGTTTGCACATGCATTAGATTCAATGTCCTAAGTAACATAACAAGAGAACAAACATCAACATCACCTTTGTCCCAAACTAGTTGAGGTCGGCGGTTGATGAACCCAAATTAAAAGCAAGAAAACATTGAGGTAAAATAAAAATAAATAAATAAATAAACACATAATAAATGAATAAATAAATTTAGGAAATAAAGGATTAAAAAGGCCATTTGGAGAAAAGGAATAATTGGTCATCCACTTTGTCCTAAGACAAAAATGTATGTCGGTTTATTTCTCACTCCATTAAGTTTTGTTCTATTACTTTTCCTCAACTAAGTTTTAACAAGAGAACAAACAATGAAAAAAAAGAGGATGAACAAAAGAAGCAAAGCAAATTGACCCGAGCTCTCTTCATCCAGTCTTCCTCGTTACTTTTAACTTCATATCTTGGTATCTCCTTCAAACCAATAGAATCAGCTGCATGCGAAATGCTCAAAGTTATATCCTCATCTTCAGGAAAGATGGAACTAATGCAAATCTGCAGAAAATATTATTCTTTTAGAATTCACACCAATCCCAACATTTAATTCAAGTAATGTTTATCAAAGAAAAAGTCAAACAAATTGCATAAAGAATATAGTTTGAGACAAGATGCATATAACTTGGGGATTAAGTTCAATTAGGGTAGTTTTAAAATAAATAAGGAATTGTATTGAATAAGTTGCACATGGCCTTAAGTTGGGGGGTTCTTACCCTAGTAAAATTATGACTATTATGGTTTTCTGTAGAAGGAGGTTATCCTGTATTTTGAACTTACATATTTAGAATTAGACCATTCAGAATGATCAATTGGGTTTTGTTTACCTCACCTACGTACTCTCTTTTTATATTTTTGTTTTATTTTTTTTGGTGTGGGTAAATTCTTCTTTCTATTTGTCCCACATCACCAGGGATGACATAACAGTATTAAAAATTTACCTGTCTTTTTTAAGGACCAGTTTTGAGGGCTATATATTTTACTCTCGGGGGTTATGCTTCAAAATAAGTATTCTCTACCTTGGGCTGAGGATAAAAATAGTATTTGAATTGAGTTAGTAGCTGAAGGTTTTGTTCATTTTCATTGTGCCCTCCCCTACAGATTTTTCTTTATTAATTGAATCATGTGGATAACTGCCAAAGGAAAGTTCATTAACATGTTTTTCATATTTTCCCTTCTCTTTCTCTCTTCCTGCATCCCTTTTCTGTGCACTATTCATGCATACCAAAATTAGGAGCTGTTAAACCAAATGGCAAGGGAAAGTTAGTTGGAATGCTTTGCAAGTGTGAATAGATGGAAAGATTCTCTATCTCTTTCTCAACAAAATGGAATTTATCAATGAAGATGAGTATACAACTTCAGCTCTGAAAGATTTTGTCACTTGTGATATTCTTCTATAGTTACACAACCAAGAAAAAATTAGCTAGAAAGGCTAAACAAAATTCATGTGCTTTGGAAAACAGGATTATATGGAATCCTTTCCTCATTTTATTAATTGCCATCATTCTTTCCTAAAGATTCAATTAATTTTCTAATAGAAAAACCTTGATCATAATCAAACATAGCATTAAGTTTAAAAATAAAAAAAAAATTGATAAACAAAAGCACACAACAACAGTTATAAGAAAAATTAAAATAAAAAATAAACTGTAAAAAGAAAATCGGCAACAGTCTACCTCATCAGTATTTTGTCCGAAACCATCTTGATCCACGCTAACAGAACTAGCACCGAAGCATAGAAGAGCTTCTGCAAGCACATCCTTGTCAGCACAAAGAGGAAGGACAGTCAAACATTTAGGTAGCATAACAAAGATTTTATACCATAATATGGTTCAAAATCAAGCTAAATGTATTTTTGGAGTCTAGCTGACACTTCCTTCCACACAAATCACATACTTCAGTTACTTTAACAATGCAATCTAGCTCACAAGTCCCAACAACATTATTCATTCACATTTCAGTTTGGTTGGATTCTTTTTCAACCTAAACCTAAAGAATAAACCCCTTTACCAGTTCGGTGGCTGTTTAATATGTGGCAAACCATCATGAACAATTTATAAGCTGGTCCATTTTACCGTTTCAAGAATCACAACAAAACACACGCGAGAACACCAATGTCACAAATATTAGTCTAAACCCATTTTAAGAAAACCACTTGTTCAGGTTTCTTTATGCACCATCAAGCTAGGCTAAATCGTTAGTTCTGGCATCAGATACCAATTTCAGGATATGGGTGACTTAAAGTTCTGAACTTTTTTAGCTTACGAACTTACCCAGTTACTATCTTGAACAAGGAAAATGCAGCATTACAATGTAAAAAGAGAAAAGAACAAGGAAAGGCCGAAATAAAAAAAGAAAAAAAAAAGAAAAAAAGAAGAAGCTTACAGCAGAATCTTTAGGACAATGAACCAGAACCTAAAGATAAGGAGCATGTGCAGGTACAGGTACATGTGCAGCCTGGGACTTGTCTGCTAGAGGGGCAGAAGAAGAAGTGGAAAACTTTGCATTAGCACTTGCAACATGAACATTGATATGGATATGGGGAAGAAGCCATGGGTAACTAAGTTTGATATGATTGGAAGGAAAGGAAAATGATGTGAGAGCGGAAGGGGACGAGCGTATGAAGCAGCGAGAGAGGGTAGTGGCGATGGGTGAAGGAGAGCCAAGAGTGAAGGTTAGCTGTTTGAGGAAATGCCACGCTACCATTTCCTTTGTTCCAATGATACGTTTGACTTCACATGCAATTCTAGTACTTAATGATACGGTAGAGTTGCATGCGTAATGGCTCACTTATAAATAATTATGTCTAATAGACGGCAGATCATTTTAGTAAAATCTATAAATAATTTTTTGAGTTTTACTTCTCTCTCTCATGTAATAAAAAAAAATTTCTTATATTATGAGACAAATAAAATGAGATCCATCAATTTAAAAATAATACAAAGGCACGTCTTTTTATTTGAGTATAATATGAAAGATGAATCTCATCTAACATAAAAACATAATTTTTCATAAATTTTTTATCTTAAAATTTCACTTGAGTCAAATATAAATTTTATGATTATTTTTATAGATATTAATTATATAAAACTTTACTAAATTTTATGAATATTTATAAAAACACACATATATAATTTTTATTTTTTTGGATACATATATAAAATTTTCAAGATGAGTGAAATTTTAAAACCAAGTATACGTTTCTAGGCGTTTCATGCGAGCTAAGGATTTTTGGATGGATATTGTTCCAAAGTTAAGACAGCATATTAATAAAAACTTTTTATCTTTTTTATCAAGAACTTACTTTTATCATATTAACATGAGATAAGTTATTATGCCTACTCTTAATTTGCCTACTCCTCTCAATATCGTTAGTTTATAATCTCATCCAACGGTAGAGATTTGCAGGATACAATAAATTATTTTACCCCTTCCTTCTCCTAATTGCCTCCTACCCTTTCTCTCTATCGACGAAGACAAAGAAACACATATGATCGAAATCCCTTGTGAGTTTGAATTGATTTTTTGTTCACATCTATTTGTTATGACTTTGGTAAAAATAGTTCTATTGGACGTAGTTGATGACCAAGATGCCAATAGTATGACAATTATTCGAATACCAAATCCCTAGCTTTCTCTCTCTTCAATGGCACTTCAACAACTAACTGAGTACGAATGCAAGTGACTCGACAAAATCACATGAGGATGAAATCAACGAATTAGCCGAAGATCCACAATTAAAAAATAATGTGAATTCGACATATATGATTAATTAGCAAACTCCGACAAAATTTGTAATAGTATCAAACTATCAATTATGATGGGACAAGGGAAAGATCATTGTTGCCGAACCAGAAACACCTTTTAAATTTTGAATTTTTGACTCTATCCTTTATAAAATTCCAAAAGTGATGGTAGGTTTGACGAAGATGATGGTCGTCGAAAGGGGTGAGAGGAGAAAGAAAGGGTGGGAGGGAGTGAGGAGAAAGAAATGGATAAAAGTGTTTATTTTATCCCGCAAATCTTCACTGTTAGATGAGATTATAATCTAACGATGTTGAGAGGGGTAGGCAGAAGTGAGCAAATTAAGGATAGGCAGAATAACATATCTTTTGTCTACTTCTTCAATGCAGTATTTAAAAACCCGGCCCGGCCATCGACTCGGCTGAGGTCAAGGGTCCCAAGGTCACTACGCTGACCCGGTTTTATATATTAAAAAAATATAAATATATATCCTATATGAAAACATTAAAAAACAAACCACCAATCATCAAAGATTCAAAATATACTTAACATAATTCACCAATTACAATCACAAGTCAATATTACACAACCTAATTAAAGTATCAAGATACTAAAGTACAAAATTCATATTCTAATGGGGTCACTACGCTGTCCTGGTTCTGCCTTTTTTGAGAAGGTCCCTAATAAAGGAAAATTCAAAGGAAGTAAGAATGTGTTTTTGTTTTCCATCGACGACCGTAAGGATTTCATTTTAAAGGGTAAAATTCTTACTTTTTATAGAAGATTTTCGGCAGCGAGGTGAAGATTGAAGACGTCTAGGTCGCTGGGAGAAGAGAACGATTAGATTTAGGTTTGTAAACATTTTTATTTAATTTTTTTAATAAAATGAGGTTGTTTTATGAAATATTTTTTTTAAAAAAAAACATGCAGTGATCTTTGATCCCGGAGTCACTGAAACCCGGTCGGGTTTTAGAAGTTGAAGGGATCTATATGCATATAAGATCCAACTTGTGACCTCAACCTTCAGAGGAGATGGTTCAGGGTTGACCTGAGTTAACCAGTACGGGGTGAGATGTTAAAACAGTGCTTCCATGTCCTTAGATTAGATTACAATATCATATAACTGTATAGATCTTTGGGTTTAAACTAACCATTTTACCCCTTTCTCTCTCCCGTTGCCCCCCACACCCTTTCTCTCTTCCTCGGCTACGGCAATCAAGAGAATACCGAAATGGTGTTTCGGTTTATGTAGAGCCAAGCAGTTTGGAAATCCGTTTCGCATTTGAACAGGTTTGTTTATACCCTTTGCTCTGGGAAGGTCGTCAAGCTTCGCTCATTCAATCCTTTTACCTCCGCTCTCGATGCCTTCAAACGGTGCAATTTAATTGGTACCGAAAAAAGAGCAATTTAATTTAATGACTTCACTTCTTTCAAGCCTTTTACCTCCGCTCTCAACTCAATTTTCACCTTGAATTTTTTGTTAGGTTGCAATGTTGCATGATATTGGTTCTTGCTTTAAACAGACCTCAGTGTCTCTATATGACACATTTGTAGAAACCTATATATCTTAATGAATGCAAATGGAACCATTGTAATTTTTAGCTGGCCATTGATTATGAGTTATGGTTCATGAGTAGCGTAATGTTTTTCCCGTGTCCTTTTTTTTTCTGCTGTTAACTTTATTTGATTATATATTAGGCTTCAGATCCACCTTCAGTGCCAGAAGAACAAATACTATTGCCACCTTCTGAGAAGGCACAGCCTAGTAAAGTAGAATCACAGCCTTCATTAAATCTCTCTCTCTCTCTCTCATGTCAGAATTTGAACCCATGGAAACTTCTTCTCAAGAAAATGTGGAAGAGCCCAATGAAACTATCATTGGATCAAATGGAGTGACACCAGTGCCTCCAGAATTCTTCCCAACTTATTTACCTCTCCCATTTTCCATATGTCCATCAAATGCAGCTTCCTTTGAAGAAGTTAATGGAGCTGAAACATTGCATCATCAGGTCTTCAAGCCAATCCCGGTCATTCTCAAGGAACCTTTCAATGTTGATGAACTCGTGGGAATGTCTCAGCTGAGAGTTGGTGAAACACAGGTACGTGAGAGAGTGCCTTCTCCACTTTTCTTAAAATTGTTAGGAGAGCCCTCAAGGCAGTCAGCATTTCATGCAAAGACTCCAGTTGGAGGTTTTGATATATAGACAATGGCAAGAACACTGCAATTCAAGCGATTTGATCTTTTAAGTTGGGTGAAGATAGCAGTGTTTGAGCCTTCTTTTGGTCACCTTTTTATTTGTAATATTATATATAGTTTTTTCCTTTTTTCTGATCCATGCTGTTTAATCTTGCAGTAGTACCAAGTTATAGGGTATGTAGCTCAGGTTAGATCAATTCTTGACAAATATATATGGGAAAATCACTTCTGTTGTCACTGCAGAAGTGATTTCCTTCTAATGGAATACCTCATATATTTCATGAATAGTGAAAAGTTACATCTATCTCATTCTAAGTTTTACAATCTCCTTATATACAAAGAAGATATAAAAGGTCCATCATGAACCGAAAGAAAAAGGAAAAACAGAATTTCCTAACTAGCTAACAGATGCAGTTACTTCTGTGCTGACGTGGAAATTTCCTTCTTATTCTCCAATACCCCTCCACAAGCTGGATGATGTATGTCATGCATCCCCAGCTTGTTCATTGCCTGTTGAAAACTGGTTGAAGACAGTGGCTTAGTAAACATATCAACTAGTTGGGCAGCTGATGTAATGGGAAGTAGATGAAGCAACCCATATTGAATTTTGCCACGAGTAACATGGCAATCTATCTCAATATGCTTAGAGCGTTGATGAAATGTGGGATTATGAGCAAGATAAATAGCGGAACGGCTGTCACAATAAACAGAAGCAGGACATAGCCAAGGAAGAAGCAGGTCCTGGAACAAAAATTGGATCCATTGGAGCTCGCAAGAGAGACTTGCAAGGGCTCTATATTCAGCCTCTGAAGAAGAACGGCTGACTGTTGTCTGTTTCTTCGAATGCCAGCATACAAGAGCAGATCCTAGAAAAATACAAAATCCGGAGGTAGATTTCCTTGTGTCAAGACAAGTTGCCCAATCAGAGTCAGCAAAAGCCTGAACCCGAAGATCATTCTGTGCTGGAAAATATAATCCACAACCAGGGGAACTTTTCAAATAACGCAAAATACGTTTTGCAGCAGCATGATGAAGGTCAGTTGGTTGAGAAACATACTGACTCAAATGATGTACAGCAAAACAGATATCAGGTCTTGTGTTAGTCAAATACAAAAGTTTACCAATCAGTCGGCGATATGGAGAAGGATCTGATAAAGGAACTCCTTTGTCACGTGAAAGTTTTAGATTAGCTTCCATTGGAGATGAAACCGGTTTTCCAACAGTAAGCCCAACATCAGAAATAAGCTCAAGAGCATATTTCCTTTGGTTGAGTATGATTCCTTTAGAGGAACGAGAAACTTCAAATCCTAGGAAATATCTAAGTTGCCCAAGATTTTTGATCTTAAATCTGTCATCAAGAAGCTGTTTGACACAATCAATTTCACCCATGTCATTCCCACAAAGAACAATATCATCTACATAGATTAAGAGAATAGTAAAGGAATCATGATGCCTGAGAGAAAAGACGGAATGATCAGCTTGGGCCTGCTTATAACCAAGACCAGTGAGAAAAGAAGAAAGCTTGGCATGCCACTGCCTACTAGCCTGACGTAGCCCATAGTTGGATTTTTGTAGTTTACATACTTGACCAGGTTTCTCAAGATGAAGACCAGGAGGTGGTAACATATATACCTCTTCATGAAGATCACCATGTAGGAAGGCGTTGTTAACATCCAATTGATGTAAGAACCAACCTTTGGCAGCAGCTATGGCAAGTAGAATTCGAACAGAATCAAGCTTGGCAACAGGACTGAAGGTATCAAAGAAATCCACACCTTCTATTTGAGTAAAGCCCTTGGCAACAAGACGTGCCTTGTATTGTTCAACTGAGCCATCTGAGTTATGCTTAATTTTATAAACCTATTTCCAGCCAATGGGTTGTTTATCTTTAGGCAAATCTACCAACTTCCAAGTATTATTGTGATCCAAAGCATGAATTTCAGATTGCATGGCCTTGCACCAAGCTTCAGATTTAGCAGCTTGAGTGTATGTGTGTGATTCTATATGAGAAGATATATTTAAACAGAAACGTGTGTAGGAGGGGGAACAATTATTATATGACAGAACATTGGACATGGGAAACTTAGGAGGTTTAGTGAAGGACATACCTTGGCAAGTATTGATATGCTGAGAGCTTGAGGGATTATAGTGATATTGATCCAAATATTTTGGAGGAGCTCTAAGTCTTGTGGATCTGCGAAGCTGTGGCACTATAGTATCAGAAGTTGCATGTAATGGAGATAAGGGTGAAATAGGTTCAGAAATAGGTTCGGGTGATTGGATAGAATCAGGTAAGGATGTGGACCATGATGGTATAGCAGTGGAATGTTCTGAATTTTGAGATAATTGTTGAGAACTTAAGAAAGGTGGAAGGTAGTTGTCAAAGTCATGTGGTGGGTTCTGGATAGAAGAGGAGATGTCATTGGGGCTGGTGGAAGTAGAGAGGTCATGGAATGGAAAGTGTTGTTCATAGTATAAAACATTCCTGGACAGAAAAATATCTCTAGAACTAATATCATAAAGCAAACTTTCTTTTATACCAGCTTTGTGTCCAAGATAAACAGCTTTTCTGGCCCTAGGGGAAATTTGAGTCGATGGTTTTGTAAGGTTGTAGCATAAGCCAAACAACCAAACACCTTGAGGTGTGCTAAGGGAGGGGGTGTGTTATGCAGCATTTCATAGGGTGTTTTCTGGTTTAGGAGTGGGGTACAAGTTCGGTTTATCAAATGAACAGCATGAGTGATTGCATAGTTCCATAATGCGATAAGAACCTTGGATTGAAATAGTAGAGCACGAGCCACATTGAGTATATGTTGGTGTTTTCTCTCAACTCTTCCATTTTGTTGAGGACATTCCACACAACTACGTTGATGTATTATTCCCTTTTGCAAATAGAATGCAGACATTAAAAATTCACATCCATTATCACTTCTTATCGTGCCAATATGAGTGTGAAACTGATTCTCAACATATGCAACAAAGTGTTGCAAATGTGTCCTAGTCTCATTCTTAGACTTCATTAAGATAATCCAAGTATATCTTGACAAGTCATCAACAAGTGTAAGAAAGTATCTATGACCTTCAATAGAAGTTACAGAATAAGGGCCCCAAATGTCTACATGTATTAATTGAAAAATCCATGAAGATTGTGTCTCACTGGAACAAAATGGCAATTGTCTTTGTTTTGCAAGATGACATGCATCACATGGACTTACACTTGTAAAGGGAATAAAAGGAAATCTAGAAGACATCTCTTTCATCACATTATCAAATATATGTCCTAGCCTTTGGTGCCATAGGCTGGAATTACTCTTATTCGAAGTACAACTGTTCATACTACTACAATTATTCTCGGAGCTTGTCTTGAAATCAACTCCTGCTGCTCTTGTGCTTATCACATATAATCCATCTCTTTGTTCAGCTATACCAATCCTCACCTGGGTATGAACCTCCTGTATATGACACATTGAACCACAAAATGTAAGGTACAAGGGATGGTATTTAAAAGTTTTGTGACTGATATCAAATTGACTCTAAAGTTTGGAACATAAAGGACATTATATAAGACAAGCTTTGAGGTCAAATGCGCATTTCCAGAATATGTTGCTAAAGCAAAGTCTCCATTAGGTAGGCCAATTCTAACAAGTTCAATTTTCTGCAGATTCAGTAAATGAGATTTGATATATGTGACATGATCAGTCGCCCCCGTATCCAATATCCAATGCACATCTAAAATACCCGGTTGCTGTATGGGGTCAGATTGCTGCATAACATTTGTATTCATATTCGAAACTTGTGTGAAATTTGTGGCATGTGAATTAGGAACAACCTTGTTCCTTTCTAAGAGATTCAGCAATTGCTGATACTGGTCATTGGAGAATGAATTTCCAGATTGATCACTTCGGGTGTCTTGAGCTACACTGTTGGTACTGTGATTGATATCACTCCTAGGCCTGAATCCTGGTGGAAATCCGTGGATATGGAAGCAAGTGTCCACTGTATGGTTTGACCGTCCACAATGTGTGCACAATTTGTTTATTGTGCCTCGTCCACTATAGTCATTGGAAGATGGACCACGTCCATTATAAAAGCCACTTGGACTACGACCTCTTCCTCTAGATCCAGAAAATGAACTACGTCCACCAGGTCCAGAAAACGAACCACGTCCATGAATAACAGCAAACACTTGAGAATTCGTAGGATTTGAGATACGAATTTCTCCTTGAAATTGTCTTTCTTGTTGAACAATCATAGCAAAAGCTCTAGTTACATCGGGTAATGGATCAATTAACATAATCTGAGACCTTACTTGTGAGTATTGGTCGTTTAAACCTTTGAGGAATCGAATCATGTGATCACGTTCACGATATTCTCTCATTTTTGCATATCCTCCACACGAACAATGAACATTACACTTGCACATTGGAAGCGGCTTGAGGTTGTCCAGTTCATCACACAAAGTCTTCAATTCTGTGAAATATTCAGTAACATTCTTTTTGTAACACCCCGTATATATCCGGTAATGTTATCATAATATCGTATTAAGTTGCGCTTAATTAAGATGCGGAATTACTTTTTCTTTTCAATTATGATGCTATTAACATTACCAACTTGCTTAATAATCAATTAATAAAACATCGCCTGTATGTAATTGCAATAAAACAGCTAACTGAAATACCTCATAACATAGATAATATAAGTGTGGCTCTAGTCACGGAACTACAACAACGTAGACCGGACCATCTAACAGTTTATACAACTCCAAACTAAAAGTACTAACAGAAAGTGTCATGGACAATCCCCATGCTCACTCAAATAAGGCAACATGCCCAACATCAGTCTCAACAACAACATATCATAAATAGCGGAAACATAAACAGCATCCAAATCTAGTCATGCTAACATATAAGCAGAAACAACATAATCAGCTAAGCTCCGGCCTCCTGCCGCCTGAGGCATCAGTACCCATACTACCTGATCCTGAAATAAGCATTCCCCAAAAGCGGG